CCCTGGTTAGAATCAAACCCAAACCATAAGAGCAGTAAGCAGTCCAATCTATCTTACCAAAAACTCATATAAAAATAAATTTAGAGGTTAGTTGTGAATTGTGATATATTTACTTGTGCATTTTATGCATTAGAATAGATTTAAGTGAGGTACATTTTTTATTAATTGCTCTCATAAAGTAAATTCTATTGTTTGTGAATAAATGATTTCTAATCATCTAACTATAAAGTTTAAAGATCTGATCAGCAGGTGTATCAGTCCAAGCATCTTAAAACTAGTGGCTATAGTAAAGCGTGGAGAGCACAAAATACATGCTTGAAATATTTTATAGATTTTTTAAGAATACTGCAACTCCTATGTGCATTAATGATACATTTTATACATAAATTTTTCCTTAGTATTCTTGTTAATATTTTGGATTCTCTAATAATTGCTTTTGACCTGACATGCATTGTTGTTTTGACCAAATAATAAAGTGCAACTGCACGTAGGCTTATCATTGTAAAACCAACAAAGAACACTTGGTTTTTAAATGAACTTGTATTAAAACTGTCAAGGACTATTCTTTTAATGGTCCTAATTTTGAAAGTGTAAAAGGTTGATCGAACGGTGATTACTTTATATGGTGACAGTTTTATCATCCATTCGTCAATCTTTTTGTGCTGAATGCCCTAGAACGGCGTTACGGAGAAAATAATTAATTTTAGAACTTACCGTTTTCCTTGGTGTCTGCACACTCGGAGAACGTCGGATTGTAACAAGGGCCATACCACATTAGCGCTAGTGAAACATTATTAAAGTAATGCACAATCACAAACAAAAAGAGAAATATTGACCTATCACACTACCTATCATAAAATGAATCACTAATGGCAAAAAATATTATTGTATCTGAATTGTTACTTAAATGCAATCATGATTTTTTCCAATACGAACAAATCTGCTATTCAACAGCACTTTAACTACTAAGGGTACTACTGTATTAAATAAAATAAATTGTCTGGTTGAAATACTGACTGACGACATGACCAACAACGGATGAACACCTCCTTATTAGTTTGTGGATGAATACAGATAAAAATAAAATCAGTTTTTTTTTTATATTTTTTCCGGAAACAGGAATTCAAAATAAAGTAAGTCCATACAGCCTCGACTAATTGAAAGAAGAAGCGCATAAAAACTTTAAAACTTTGAAACGAACACGGAAAAGATTTTTTTTTGTTCAATTTTCTATCCATGAAGTTAACTTCATGACTGTATCTAAATAGTTTTCTTAAAGATAGAGCGTTATTGCTTGTCAATTATGGTCAAAGGCCCATGCCTTTGACCTCCATAAGAATTGACTAACCTCCATAGCTTAGAGAGAAGGAGAACGATTGCGACGTGCTAAGGAATTAGCCAGCCCGTCTGTCCCTGAAATTTGTAGAATTTATAGTTCATTTTTCAGCCACCAGCCGCGCTGCCGTCGGTAAGTAGTATCTGTGAAGTTAGCTGTTACTGAATACAAGTAGTTGAAGTTAGTTGAATGATTTTCAAATTAGAGCACAATACCCCGCTTTTATTGAGACAATTTAGCGATCGCAGAGCCTCACTTGTTTAGTTCATATTTCTGGGACACTATTTTCTACAGCGATCGATCTCCTACTCTCTAACCTCCATGGTCAAAGTTGTTACCTTGGGTATTACTTAAAAACTTTGACAGCTCCGTAATCGAATCGTCATTTTTGTTGTTACGTCCGGTAGGGGCGCTGCTAAGTTTTTATACAAGACCGATGTTAGAATTTAATTTTTGATTTAGAGATACATGCCAGAAGTTGTTGCAGTGTTAAGAAGTTAACGGAAAACTATCAATTTGTCTTCATTTTTGATCCTCGTTTCCATCTACCATTCTATTTCAATACATTCGTTCCTAGAAGTTGACACCAGTTTTTTTCATTATTCCGCTGCGAATCTAAATAGTATTTTATATTACTAGAGGCAATATTTTACGCACAATTTATACATGTTATGAGAAGTTCGTTTTTTAAATACACTATTATTTATAAGTCTTGTTCTATATGTTTGTTCCCCTATGAGCTAAGTCATGAAATTTTGCATAGTGTGAGTACTATTTTCTGTGAAAATTTGGCTGCCTAACAATAAGCAGTTTTTCAAGACTGGCCTGATGTACGCCAGCTTGACTGTCACGCCAGTGTACACCATGAAAACAGTAACAACCTCGAACTCGATGTGGCAAGAAGGACACTTTGGAGCTTGGGTCTCTGTTTTTCGGTCCACGAAACACCTGACATTTAGATACGGAACGAGGCCCTATCCATAAGTCTTGTCCATGACTACCTACAATCTATCAATATTGATTCCAGTGTGACCATATGTGGCAGGATCCTGCCTTTTCGGCAGGTTTAGCCCTTTATTTTCCTCTCTGGCATATTTGTTTGACGTTTTAGAAATCTGGCAGTATTTGGCAGTTTATCACCTTGGACGCCATGCCGATCACTTTATATTTTTTTCATAGAAATTATCGTCCTGCAGGATAATCTTTAGATTGCCTGACGGCGTTCAAGATGTTATATAAAGGTGCAATATAAGTTTTTTTTTATATATTTGGCAATACATCCTTTAATATGAGTAGAGTGCGGATCGACAAACGAAAAAACAGTAGGTAGGAATTTTAAAATGCCAATTCCAACATTGGCAACGATACCTTTGTTTCGGGGATTTCCCATAACATCTCTAGTTGAATTTGTAGTTCCATTCCATTGTGAACCTTAAAGCGCGGAGCATAATGTTTATATTACCTATATCTTTATTTGTTAGTTGTTTATGTAATTAGTCGGACTAGAAAAACTGTCGGAGACACAGATTTGTTTTGTTTCTGATTTCGTGTGGTGTGTATGAATGGTTACCATATTACCATGAAACGTAAATATGAAATTCAAATGGTAACTTAAAATACGTAAATATTTCCAATTTTGTAAAATGTTTGTTGTGTTTGCCAATGTCGAATGCTGCTTGTGAAAGAATATTCTCGCAAATCAACCTTATAAAAACAAAAACCCCGAACAGACTTATCAATAAACATGTCGCCTCTATTTTGCATGTAAAACAAGGCATTAAGAATATGGTGACTACGTTTCATTCCAGCCAACAAATTATATGATTAAAAATATAAAGAAATTGATCAAAAAGAATACGAGGCTAATACGAATGTATAACTATTTAAAATAAAAATATAAAAAAATCATGTGACTATTTATTTTAAATTTTAAAATTGTATTGGCATTATTTCGGCATTTTGTGCATAAAAGTTTGGCAGGATTTGTCAGTTTTTTTGCCTAAGCGGGGCAGGATCTATAATTTAAGGTTGGTCACACTGATTGATTCGCCATTAACGGTACGACGAATGACTGGCCAATATCGGAAACACTAAAGCCGTTAAATTTATAAAAAAAAAACAATATGGCGTTTTGTTGTTGTTGTTCATCGCTGCCTGCGGTTATTAACATCAAATAACTGAGGGTTTGACTAGAAAATTAAACATAGCTTATTTTTAAATTTATATATTAATGCTGCCTTACTGTAGGTACATGTCAAATGACACTAAAGTTGTTATGACATCAATTCAACTGTACAAACACTTGTTACGACAGTGCGAAAAATTACCGCCCGAAGCTTGTAAACATTATAAATTCGCAGTGAAACAGGTAGGAACTTACTGAATATTTATTAGATTTGTCTTTCATGCAGTGTTGTCAAAATTGAAACTGCATCTATCTTCACTGGCTACATCCTATCACACAAAGCAAGGCAAATAGAGAAGAAGTAGACGCGTCAGAATTATATTTATCAATTTATAAGATTCTCAAGACTACACTTGAACATCGTTAGTCAGTAATATGATGAAAATTGTAGTACGCATTAGCAGAATAATTAAATTGTACTTACTATATACATACTCATGAAACTACAATAGAACAACCTTATTTATACATCGTTACAAAATTATTGTATTGGCACTTTAATGTAATTTTGGTTTTGTGTAGTTTGGGAACTAGGTTTTTTAATGTGTCCCCAGTGAAAAATCTTTTTCTGGTAGCAACACAACTCTATTACTTATTATATTATGCATGTGTTTTTATACTTATAGATAATCGCTGTCTGGACGTGTTTATCTACAAGTGTAAAAATAAACAATATGTTTCATATATTCTGTGGTGTTCAGATAATATATGGCAAATTAAAAGTTTGGGTCTTTAAGTTAATAAGACAGTAAAAGGGAAAGTTCTTATTCCTTCACAATTGCTGTAAAATTGCAAAAATAATCTTAAATAAAATATTAAGTTATCTTAACAGGGCAGAGATTGTCTAATCTAAAACTGTACTCCCCTCCATTGTCTTACTCTTACCTGCACAATCGGTACAGCCCCTCTAGCATGACCACAGAAACGGGATATGATAAAGCGATATATCGACATTAACTGTCAGACTACTATGGAGTTTGACAGTAGTCTGACAGTTAATGTCGATATATCGCTTTATCATATTCCGTTTCGGTGGTCATGCTAGAGGGGCTGATGCAACACACTCAAATAAGCTATAGTCATTGTTCATTCAGTTGATTAAGTTGCCGGCAAGACACAAAGGTAGCAGCACACTATGATCGCTCATAAAAGTGTGGAGGGGTGTTCAGTTTTAGATTAGACAGTCTCTACCTATCTAGATGATCTAGAGATGGACTCAAGTATATGTAAAAAACCAATCTGGTTTTATTATTTCACAATTAATTTAGTTATAATTATTAATTCTTGTGTCTTATTACAGAGTTACAAACAACATAGGCTTGAACCAGACCCAGCTAGAGTTGAACAAATAATTCTAAAAAGTGTTGAGGATGCAAAGTGGATTGTGAATAAGGTATTTGAATAATAAAGTGTTATTTGCTTTTTTCTTTTCTCTTCATAACCATAATCCTAGTTACTAACCATTATTATTTTTCACAGTACATTACAAAATAATGGATTTGACAAAGAGCTGTACCAATAGAAGATACAAAAACTACTTATATATTTATGATAAATGCATATTGTAAGAAAATGAATACATTTGGGGAGAAAATTGAAGACTATGAAATATTAGAACATCTTGGTAAAGGAGGATTTGCACATGTTTATCGTGCAAGATGTCACAGAACAGGTATTTTTGTTGCGATAAAAATGATAGACAAAGCACTAATGGCAAGTGCCGGAATGATTGGAAGGGTTCGCCAAGAAGTAACTATTCATTCTCGTCTTAAACATCCAGCTATACTAGAGTTATACACATTTTTTGAAGATGTACACTATGTTTACTTGGTATTAGAACTAGCACACAATGGTGAATTAGCAAAACACTTCAAGCTAGGGACTCGTGGACTATCTGAAAAAGCTGCAGCTGATATATTCAAGCAAGTTGTTAGTGGTGTTTTGTATCTTCATACACATAATATAATTCATAGAGATTTATCTTTGAATAACTTACTGCTTACAAAAGACTTAAAGGTAAAAATTGCAGACTTTGGATTGGCTACTCAGTTAAATGGACCTGATGAGAAACATGTTACAATGTGTGGAACACCTAACTATATTTCCCCTGAAGTTGCTTCCAGAGAGTTACATGGATTACCAGCTGATGTGTGGGGGTTAGGTTGTATGTTATATACCCTTTTGGTAGGCAGTCCCCCATTTCACACTCAGCATGTCAAAACTACTCTCAACAAAGTTATAAATGCAGATTATAAGATTCCCCCTGAGTTATCACATTCAGCACAAGATTTGCTGCAAAAACTTTTATGCAAAGACCCTACAAAGAGAATAACACTAAAAGGAATAATGGAACATCCTTTTTTAATAAATACTGGTTCAAGTCACTCAATAACAAAGCCAGATATTTCAAGAGATTCTGGGTTTCTAACAACATTGCACAGTACTCAACATAGTGGCAAAATCAGAAATGAAGATAAAACACCTTTAGACTATATGAGCGTCAAAACTGAACATAATGTTGGCAATTTAGTGCAACAAGACGTATTATTACAAAAAGCTCCATACAATGTTTTTTCTGGTATGCAAGATGGACCCTCACAGTTGTCTTTTTGTAATAGCCATGATTATAGATTTGGTATGAATGTCAATCAAATTTCAAAGCAACAATCTGATTTCCAAAAACTCATTCCAGCATCTAGTACTTTAATGTCACAAAAATTACCAAATGTTTGCAGTAATACAGTATTAACAGAAAGCCTAGGAAAGCCAGATATTAAATGTAATAATTCTGGTGGTTGTATCAGTGACAATAAAGAAAATGTTCCGAGAACTTGCAATGTCAATACCAATACTATTGGAGTACCACCATTATGTGCAGAAAGATTACCTAATATTTCACATAGAACACGAAATGCTATTTTAAAAATTGAATCCACAACTGTTATTGTAGAATTTATTAAAAAGAAAGGAAAAGATAGAGAGGAAAAGGTGGTAGAGATATGCAAAATATCTAAAGATGGTATGAAGGTCATTATTTACTCTTCAGATAATCATAGATCCAATACACTTCATAATACAGACCATGATCCTAGTCCTGATGAAGTGTTTTCATACCATAATTTACCTCAGAAACATTGGAAGAAGTATTTGTATGCTTCCAGGTTTGTTGATCTTGTTAAAGCCAAGACACCTAAAATTACACTATACTCCACATTAGCTAAATGTCAGCTAATGGAAAACAATACAGACATTGAATTATTTTTTTATAGTGGAGAAAAAGTTGCATTCACCTCATCAGAAGGTTTAAAAATTATAGATAAGAATTTGAAAACATATATGAATCCATCTCTTATACCAGATTTGAAATATTTAGTAGATCATTATGAAGAGTGTTTCAGTAGAATAAATAGAATATTGACTGCTTTGTCATGTATAAGTGATGAATGTTTTCCTCTTATAATTGGAAAAAGGCCTATTCAAAATACTGTTAATAAGTCTGCTTCCCCATATCCTACTTCTATGAATGGAAATTACAATACTCCTTTACTTAATGTAGGTTCATTTCATAGAACAGCAGCTAGCTCTAGTCATGGACTCAGTGATTACAATAATATTTGATTCTAAAGAAAATTTTACTAGAAAATATTCCACGCGGACCAGACAGCAGACGGAATTGGAACCCACACCCTCCGCTATCCGGGCGGATGCACTAACCATTACGCTACCGCGCCCCTAATAGCCGAAATATTTAATACAGTAGAACCCGCTTAATACGATCTCGCTGAATACGATTTCCCGCATAATACGCTATTTTGCGGCAGTCCCTGCAACTTGAGCCATATTTTCATACATTTCTTAACGCTTAATACGATTCGTCATCCCGTTTAGTACGCCTAAATACACGTACCACACATATTACCTCTTGCGATTGACGTTCTTCCATTGATGACAATGTGGCACCGTACCAAATTTAATCAAATCAAGGTCTTATTGAGAACGTGAAATAAGAAGAGGCCCTAAGTGATAATGATCAAGAAGAAGATGAATCAACTCCGATTTTGTCACACGCCCAGGCATTATCAGCAGTCAATGATTTAAGGCGCTATGTAACTTCTTTGAATCAAAGCAAAGACGCACTGCAAAAGTTTATTTACGTGAATATTTTTTAATTGCTAATGCCTCAAAATCTTTTTGTCAAACTAAAATAAGTGATTAATTTTTAATTAATCTAATACGAACGTAATAATAATACACTATTTTTTATAACGTACATAATTCGTAAATATTGTACATTTAATACCAAATTCCCACATACCTACATTCGAAATTTCCCTATCCCGCAATCCCGCTTAATATGCTTTCCCGCTTAAGAGGTTTTTGGTTGAGTTCCTGTGAAATCGTCTTAGACGGGTTTTACTGATTAAGTAAAAGTATTCAATTGACATTTTGGGTTACCTACAATGCGAAGAGATGGCGCTGCTTTGCAGCCTTAAGAAATACTAGAGGAATTTCGACAGGCCATTAGGGCCGCGGTAGCATAATGGTTAGTGCGGGAGGAGAGTGCGGGTTCGATTTTCGTCAGCTGCCTGGTTCGCCTGAATTTTTTTCTAGTAAAATTTTCTTCAAATTTGAACACCTCTAGCAGATAAATGTTAAAAATAATAAATATATTAATATTTGATACACATTATTTTCAACAAATTCATTATGAAGGCTCTTATAACTCTTGGTTCTCTTTTGGCGGTATCGAGATTATACAGTTCATTATGTATAATTAATTATTTTTAATAATATTAGCATATTTAATCCATAGTTTCTAATTTAATAAATTGACTACCATCTATTACTAATAGATTTAATTGAAATTTTGATTAAATAATATTCTATGCATCTTCTTCTTTGAATTAATTGCACCTTTCATTAATTAGGAGCTTTCCATATGTTCGTGGCCTACCTCTATAAAAAAATGGCGACACTTCACATGACCACATTATTTGCTGTTTGTCATTTTGAAAAAGTGAAGAGGAAGGATTTGAAAAGGAGAGCCTGTTGTCAAGTTCACAAATATCAAATAAGAATAGCCATGTAAGGTAGGTAGGATCGTTTAGGATCGGATGTGACCTAAAGCCAAAACGCAGAAGCTCCGACTTCTTGTGGCGGTCGAAACTGCGTCAGGCGTGGCGGTCGCGTTAGAGCGGGAGCACACGATGCATTGCGGCGGCGCCGGCGCCACGACCACAGAATATATACACTACGCGAAAAGAAGCGACACTTAAGCATGTGTGCTCGTAAAATCGCCCGCGGCTATGTGTGGGTGTCTGGAGGTGTGCGGGGGCGTTGCGCGGCGCGCGGGGCGTGGAGAGGGCAGTCGCCGACTGCCTCGACCGAAGGGATGGCAGTAGCGAAATAGTAAAATAACAGCGTTGCACTGCATTGCACGCACAGACTGACTACGCTACGCAATCTTATTATTATTTAGATAATAATAAGAATTATAAAACGAATTGAAAAAGGAGAAAATATATAAAAGTTAGCAATTTGTTATAGTACCTACATTAAAAGATTAAAAATTGATTATAAAATCAAACCTATCCTTCATTATTTACCCCAGTATCCTTGAATCAGTTTACATTTAATAACTTACTATGCATAAATATTCATTGGCACAAGTCTAAATTCCAAGTTCAACCCTAGCGCATACACGCTCCTGCTCAAGGTCACTGACGCTGGAACTCTCACGTACACAGAGTGTCACCGCTGTGCCACGACGGAGCGGTCTCGCTGCGTCGTCTTATGGTAGCCATACACACTACGAGAAATCGTTACGATCAGACTGTACAGTTTAAACGGAACAGTTTATCGTACGTGGCGTACGTATAGGAAACTGTGCAGTTTTATAACATACACGCTACGATTTATCAGTACCGTTCGAACTGTACAGTCTGATCGTAAAGATTTCTCGTAGTGTGTATGGCTACCATAACATAGAAATATCTGTGGCATGTCACATTGATGCGCTCCGGCGCACAGTGGGTGAAAAAAAGAGGTCCCCTTTCATAGGATTTTTGAAAAAATAAAAATGTTTATTATCCGTTTAAGGTATGCGGTTTTATTGGACATATCAGTACATTGAATAATAAAATAGTTTGGGGAATTTCCTTTTAATCTAACACCATAAAGCACGGGCTTTAGAGTTTCAAATGTATGAAAACGGAATTTGTTTTGCTCATAACTTGTATCGGTCTTCTACGGTCAAGCTGAAACTTATAGGGATTATTACCGGGTCTGTTACGAAGCCATGTGACCTTTGACCTTCACCCCGGACGGCCCCGTTCAAAAGATACGAATTTTTCAAAATGCTTATTAGGGTAATTTTGCTTTACGGGGTTATGTGTCTCAATAAACAGTTTGTTTATGTTTCTTGCCTAGCATTTAGTTATTAATATAACACAGATTATTATCTAATAAAACTACACAGTAGATAACGCCACCATACAATTTAACTTTAAATAAAAGCGTCCTAATTCAAAAGATATGGAATTAATATAAATAGATAAAAGAAATAGTTTTAAGAAAAAGAAAACAAGAATACAATATTGTAAAGAATTACAATGAAGTCCTTTACAGCCTACAATTTAATCTTTTGTTTGACAATCGCTTAAAAACCGCGCGCCATTAACGAGAGCATCATTACATATAAACAATACAAACTCTATTGTTGCAGGTTTTGAGGAATTCAAAGGGTTACCCACAGTCATTACCTGCCGTTGTTTGCCTATAATAATTAATTTTGTCAAACAAACATAAACATACTTACACTTACAATGTCTATCTAAGAAAGGGTTTGATCAAATATGTTTATTTTGGGATACCTAGAACTTTAACTACTGACTAAGCTTAAAATGAACAAAGTGTTTTTCCAGATAAACTAGCTGGTTATTAATATTAGTAAATGTAGTAAGGGAGATTCTGATATGTTACTGCCAAACGAGAAAATAAACTATTTATATTATGAATAAAACAAAATTATTAACATCAATATTTTTATTTACAAAACTTAAATTACTAACTAAGCTTGATATCATAAATTAAATAATGCATAATAAGGAAGCCACAACTGTATAAATTACTACACACATACTAGCTAAAGTATAAAAGATTAGTAGAACTCAAATTGGCTACAACAGTTCTTAAATATGTAAACTGTTTATATTAATATGATACAAAGATACAAAAAAATAAAAATACAAAGTTTGATATAATTTGATTTGAGGGAAAGAACACATACTAATCAAAGTCATAATCAGATACATTACCTACATCTACAAACTCTATATTTTCCTTATCTTCACAAGAAGTTAATAATAATGATTTAGCTTCATTTGTGAGAGGTTTATTTCGTTGACATATTTTAGGCCTGAAACTTGATAGGTATGGGTCAGACGATATTAACAAATTATTGATAATATCTTCATTTGTTGCAATCCTGCTAGATTTACGCGAGTGGAAGGTTCTGAAGTTTTTAAAATCTTTGTTACGAGCTTCAGAGGCCTCTTCAGAGAGCTTGCCGATTGGTATAAAGTTATTGTGCTCTATTATATCGGCACCATGAATGAGTAATTTATGCACGCTTGAGGGCATATAATACCATTCATAGAGCTCGACATATTTGCGTGCTGTAGCAGCACAATATTGGCGGAATTTTTCCACGTCCACAAACTCTCCACATGAGATAGCCTGAAGAATCACTCCAAATCTTCTAACGAGTTCTTCATCAACACCCGTTATTTGAGCAGTAATTTGAAGTTTAACAAAAAATCTTCTTGCTGTATTTCCTTCGTTGCTTGTACCAGCCCCTTGTTTAACAACGTCCACAAGTAGCCCCGTTTCAGTCCGGAATTGTTCTTGAATAGCCTTTTTTCTTTGGTGTAACTGTTGCTTCAAATCTTCGCCCTTAGCTTGCCATTTCTTGAAGTCGAGACGGTAAGCAATATGTAAGATACATTCCATGCATCTAATTCGTGCATGGAGGGAAGACAGACCGAACTTAAACATGTCTACAGACTGGGTTCTCTGAGTAACCTTGTCGATATCATTCATTTCTTTTGGTTTTGCTTTGCATATATCGCATGTAGCTGTGGATGTATCTGATAAATGTGAAGTTATTTTACCATCAATCATCGTCATATGCAGAACGTGTTTTACATTTGCACCATCGATAACAGTTGGATGTAGAGCAGCAATTTCCGTTTCAATTGAAGTCATTTCTTCTTTAACATTCAAATCGTTCCCTTTAGCGAACTTAAAATAAATGGGTTGACAGTAAAACGTTGAAGACGCTTTGAGGTTTTCCCATATAATTTCATCAGTACCATCTCTCACCAGTTTTAACGGCACAAATGAACACATGAAGATGCTTGAATCATCGCCGTCAATTTTTTGTTGGTAGTTGCTTTGCCCAGATGCACCGTCAAACCCCCATTTACTGATAAGAGTCGAATTACTGCCAGTTAAATCAGTTTCCAGAGTTTTTAATAGTCTCTTGACCGTAATATCTAAAATAGACTGAAGTTTAAGTTTAACTTCAGTCTCAGTTATTACCATGTCTTCTTTTTCAACGTAGCACTTCTTCTTCTCTTGCTTCAAAGCATCATACGATGGAAGTATATCACACCCCATGTCTCTCATTGTCTGCCTCAATGTAATATACTGCCATTTCGATAATTTCAGTGATGTTGAAATACCGAGTGCCTTATCGGTATGACAAGTTCGTTTCGTCGATTTCAGGCAGGCTCGCAGCATTGGCGCATCTTCAGGCTTTTTAATCAAATGCTTCACTAATTCTACAAAGTCCGTTTGGTTTTCATTTTCCGCTTTCCTAGCCAAGGCATAAGCAAGTGTCTCAAAATCGTTTTCGGCAATGAGATTTTCAGTTCTTCTTCTTTTTTGCAGTGGACTCAAATTGGCAAATTCTTTTCGAGGACTAAATGTAGCGGTTGATGTCGACACAGCCACACTATGAGGAACAGTGCATTCCGTTGATAAACTAGGTCTTGTTACCGTTGAAATACTTGTTGAAGGATCTTCAAAACTCGTCATAATATTTGATTGTTCTTCAGTTATGTCTAGTGAAACAAACTCTGGCCATTTTATTTCTTGGTCCAACCAGTCAGCAAACTTCTTTATAAAATTCCCTTGTGTGTAATTAGCTGACTTCCATTTGCGTTTAAGATTACTCGTATATGTAGCACAAAACGTTTTAAGAGTTGTCTTTTGTTCTTCAGATAATGAAAATCTCACTGAATCGAGTACTTTTTGAAATAACATGTCGGCACTAAAAGATTTTTGCCTCATATATATATATACGTCGAGATTAGACACAAGCCCTTCCATTCTGAGCAACTTAAAATTTGAGCAAAGAGAACGCTACGGTACGAATCAATAATGATAAGTGAAATAAAATACAGGTGTACTCCGTATTTATTATAATCGAAGTCATTGTTGAATAATAATAATAACAACGTATTATTTATTCACCTACCCACAATAAAAGCAAATAATCAGTAATTATTATAGGCAAACAACGGCAGGTAATGACTGTGGGTAACCCTTTGAATTCCTCAAAACCTGCAACAATAGAGTTTGTATTGTTTATATGTAATGATGCTCTCGTTAATGGCGCGCGGCTTTTAAGCGATTGTCAAACAAAAGATTAAATTGTAGGCTGTAAAGGACTTCATTGTAATTCTTTACAATATTGTATTCTTGTTTTCTTTTTCTTAAAACTATTTCTTTTATCTATTTATATTAATTCCATATCTTTTGAATAAGGACGCTTTTATTTAAAGTTAAGTTGTATGGTGTCGTTATCTATATATATATGTATAGTTTTATTAGATAATAATCTGCGCTGTATTAATAACTAAATGCTGGGCAAGAAACATAAACAAACTGTTTATTGAGACACATAACCCCGTAAAGCAAAATTACCCTAATAAGCATTTTGAAAAATTCGTATCTTTTGAACGGGGCCGTCCGGGGTGAAGGTCAAAGATCACATGGCTTCGTAACAGACCCGGTAATAATCCCTATTAGTTTCAGCTTGACCGTAAAAGACCGAGACAAGTTATGAGCAAAACAAATTCCGTTTTCATACATTTGAAACTCTAAAGCCCGTGCTTTATGGTGTTAGATTAAAAGGAAATTCCCCAAACTATTTTATTATTCAATG